GAAAAGGAATCTTCTTTTCTTTTTTTTTTTTTTTTTTTGTCTTTTTGAGACAGGATCTCTATGCACTTCAGGCTGGCCTTGAGCTCACTTTGTATCCCAGATTGATCTCGAACTTGCAACAGTTCTCCTGCCTCAGCCTCCAGAGTGCTGGGATTACAGGCATGCGCCACCACGCCCAGTGGGTCTGGGATGTCTTGATGAGCACCTAATATGAAGACTTCATGTTTGAGGATTTTGATCCAAGGGATTTTGGCCCACTGGAATCAGGGACAGTGATTCAGGTGTCCAGGCTGGGGGAATTTTTTTTTTTTTTTTTTTTTTTTTTTATAAAAAGTCTCACTGTGTAGCCCTAATTGGCCTGGAACCCCTGGTGATCCTCCTGCCTCAGCCTCCTGAGTGCTGGGATTACAGGTGTGACCCACCACACGCGGTTTCCAGGAAACAGCTTTGAGGACCAGCGCCCAAGCCAAGGGTTCTCGCTGGTTTCCTGGGGGCCACTCCAGCAGGCCGGCTTGGTGCCCCTGCCTAGCCCTCCCTCCTAGAAATGGTCCTGAAGCCTGGCAGGGTCGGAGATAGCTGGAGAACGACGTCTCCCTGGGCGTGGGGAGCGGGGCGGCGGGGAGCGGGGCGGGGCGGGGCGGTGGCGGCTGGCCTTGAGCACCATTTCCTCCACGCCCAGCAGGGCCTGGCTCACCCGGCGCTTCCCGAGCACCAGGTGTCGCGCAGCTGCTGCCTGCACAGCCCTCGCTCTGGCTGGCGGCGGGGTGGTGCGGCGCGTGGGCGCGGGCCGCCCGCTGCTGAATTCCTAGTGCCCCCTCACTGCTGCACTCGCACACCAGCTGTGTGGAACCCCTCCCGGCACACAGCGGCAGCCCCAGGCACGCGCAGCCCTCGGGTCCCCAGCTGGGTGGCCAGCGCCCCCTGCTGCCAATGTGCAGACCTGCACCCCGGTCGGGCCGGTCTCTAGGGGAGGTCGGTCTTCCGGCCGGGGCGGTCGCAGCAGCAGGAGTAGCAGCAGCCAGCCTGACTCTCAAAGCAGACCTGGGACCTTGGGGCTCAAGCCGGTGGCCTAGCAGAGAGGAAAAGCGGGAGTCCTGTGCCCCCTCCCTGCACGCCTGGGGCTCAGCCCTTCTCCCCGTGTGGCCTCTGGCAGGTCCCTTGGGCCTCATGGGACCCTGGGCTCTCCCGCCCTGAGTGTCCTCGTGTGACACCGGGCATGCACCTTCCTTGCCCAGGGCTGTGAGTTCCACGGGTGCATGTAAAGGCGTGCGCAAGGCAGGCAGCGGGGACACCCATAAACGCAGCGGGGCACAAGAAGTTGAGTACGCACGCGGTCATCAGCGCAGTCCCCGGGGACAAGCATGTTACAAATCCACACGCAGTCTGCTGCTGCGCTGAACTCCCTGCTGTGCAGCACACCACGATTCACGTGCGGCCTACACCGTGAGGCGTGGAGTTGAGGGCAGGAGCCGTGGGCAGCTCACGACCCCGGGCACTGCAGGTCTGGTGCACACGGCTGGGCCTGGCACCGGGCTCCGTGACAGCAAACACAGGGCCAACCCCGAGACCGTGTCCCTCTCGCGGCAGGGCCTGGCTCAGGCAGAACCCCGCATGGCATCCGTGTTGCTGACTCTGGGCCTCTCTCTCTCTAGAGCGGAAAGGACAAGGACACCGTGGACAAACTGCTCAAGGACCTGGACGCGAACGGGGACGCCACCGTGGACTTCAACGAGTTCATGGTGTTCGTGGCTGCGCTCACATCTGCCTGTCATAGCTACTTTGTGCAGGCAGGACCCGTGTGAAGCCCTGCACTCCAGATTCCCGACCGAGGCGGGTGCAGGGGCTGGGAGCCGGTCCCTGGGCTCCCGGAAGCCTTGCGGGCGATTCCCGTCCTGGGCGGAGCTGCTGCTGGTGTCTGTCTGATGGATAAACGCCTGTGAAATGATACCGATCTTAGAGAAACTGGTCATTTCCTTTAGACCTCAGCGTCTTCCTCCACAAAAAGTTTGCTTTGGGTTCCAGCCTCACATCACTATAAAGAGCGCTTCCCAGGGGGCTGGGGATTTAGCTCAGTGGCACAGCACCTGCCTGGCAAGCACAAGGTCGTGAGTTTGATTCCAGGTACCAGAAAAAAAAAAAAAAAAAAAAAAGAGCCATTCCCAGTTCTCCTTGCTGCCCAGGAAGTTATATTTGTAATCCC